TACTGCAGGGCTCATTTCTACATTTATTATTCCACATGACTGGGCTTCTTCTTCTGCTATCCTTCCAAAACTTCTAAACTTGTCTGACTCATGTTCCCAACATTTTCCCAATACTTTTTTTAATTGGATGAGTTTCATCATGTCCCTTTACAGAAATCCAATAAGTGAATGAATTGTTCTTTTGAGTCGAATCTTTTTAAATGAACCTGTTTTCCCCATAGACTGTATAAAAACAGGTTTTCCCACCCGATTTGACGGATGCGCATTCTGAATTTATTTGGGCCAAATAGCACAAATATAAATGAAACGTACTCCCAACACGTGTTCATCCGAAACGTACATGAATGCAAAATGTATTTCTGAAGGACTTAATATATTTTAATAACTGTAAAAATGTATTATTAATACATTTAAAATGAGCTGAATCACGCCTGCAACTACACATGAAAACAAATCTAATTAATTACCTAAACAGAATAATAATAATTTAATAATAGTAATAATAAAATGGTATTAAACATGGGTTTATTTGGATGTTTAAAGCATTAATACCACGCCAGTCTCCAGGACCACGCGATGTCGTAAGCCGCTATGAACCGGTTCTGTACTATGAACTATTCGAAGGAATCGATTCGCGGAATCGTATTAGGCTTCACATCCACTAGTGGTGTTACGTCGAAATGTAACCGGATGGAAACCGGGTCCCACTGGCTCGGTTGGAGAACTGGTCCCCCGGTTTACTGCAGTGATGGCATTTAAATAATTTCTGTGCGTCAGTATGACACTTTATTGTTTTATTTCTTATATTTCCTATACAACTGCAATAGTCGTATAATACATCACAATCATGCACTCTGAAGCTGTTAATCACACTACAATGAAACATTAACTGTAATTCCTATATGCTTTTTTATTAGTAGTAATACATTTAAGGATACGGCACAACACTCTTTATTATAGGGCTATAAATGGTGTTTAGTTATATTTAGTAAACTATCATTAGTTTCTAATAACACAAACTAAACTATCAGTGATGAACTAATAACATCCACTTAGTGTTCATGTTGCTCTGCCACTTCATAACCCAGCGTGTCTCCTAGATGCTGATGGGCGAAGAACGTTCTGGCCATTTCATTGATCTGGTCGTATGCCCCAATGTTGCGGAAGTATTCCACATAGTTCCAGAAATCTGTGGTGGAATAAGACCAGTAGGGCACAGCAGGGGGCTGTTCATAGGGCACTACATTTGAGAGAGAAAAATAGAGCTTGTGTATTCCTGCTGAGTTTCTGCATTCCAGAATTCCTGATGTGTAACTGCAGAAGTTATGTCTAAATGTGCCTCTTTGTTTCCTCAGGCAAACATAACAATACAGTTAACATAGTGAATATACTGTAAGTATAAAACCAGCACCAAGAGTTCAATTATTTGTTCAAATAAAAGATTTTGAAATACTACTATTACTGGCTAAAGGTGTGTAAACAAAATGGTAAATAGTCTGTTTACCCCCTTCAGGAATGAATCTCGCACCTGTGGAAGGAGAGAGTAGAGGAAAAGTGAATGAAATCTGAAATCCCCCCTCACAAAGAGCTGATTCATGCATGAGAACGGAGGATCTCCCAAGGGGTTCAAGAAATGTGTGAGTTTCCTCCACAAATATTATTCCTAACTATGTGCACATTTGTCCTGATGAACACGGCTCAAGTCTTTAATGTTTATGATATTAACATGTGGTATTTCACTGTTTTTCTTTCATAAAATGTTCCAGTTTGTTTATCTGACTAACATTAACCTCCTTCGTCCTATGATACAGAAATATTTACCATAAAATACAGTGATTTTCATATTCTGAAAATCTTGAAATATCGTTTTTAAGTAAATATCCAAAGTGCCCAAAGATAATAGTAGTAATATGAGTAATATACACTGCTTACCGCTGAGATTATTAGCAAGAAAACATAGCAAGAAAACCCCCAAAACAATAGTCCACTTCATCATTTCCTGGAAATAAAAAAAGATACTTTTACAAATTAAAATTTAAGGTAAATGTAAGCAAGCTTGAAAAAGCAGGTAAACTGTTTGCTATATTGCATGCATGCATCCCACATAACGTACTTTTCATAATTAGGTCACATAACAAGTTATGTATATTGTTAATTGTTTTGGAAATGAACATTACCTCCTTTGCAGCAGTGATTATACAAGTGATCCGTTCGTTTCTGAGATCTAAAAAGACGTCGTGTGTCACAGGTTCTGCACAGACTGAACCCCAGGTTCAGGAATATTTTGTCCCCTCCCAAACTAGATCTACATCATTGAAACCCACCTCAGGGCTGTATATGATATTTCAAATCAAGTTGGTTTATGCATAATTCCATACAACCATGAAAATAAAAAAAATAAAAAAACATTACTTACATTTCAAGAACATAATTCCATTTTAATTCATTAATACTCCAATAGAAATCTGAACACATTTTTATTGACATAAAACATTCAGAAAGGCATAGAAAACACAAACTTGAGGACCAATGCATATCTCAAATTGTGCAGAACAGATAGGACTCCAGTATGTTTATAAAATAAACACCTGTTTAATAAAATAATGTCTCAGGAATGACATGACACAGAACTCCATAAGCAAAATCTTCATAAGCAAAGGATAATGCATTTTATTTATTATTTTTTAAGAGGTACAACATACTTATACACATTAGGCTATATTATGTGCTGGCTGGGTTCAGACAGTTTTATGCAAGAGTAATTTTATAATGATAACTTAAACCGTTTTCACCCATAATAGTGATAGTGAAGGCACTTTTCTAAACCAAAAATATATATTTCAGTCCTCAATGTTTAAAGAGCACTATCGCATCCTTGCTGATCTGTGCGAAACATTTTGCTCACGTCGATGTTGTTACGTGAGAGGTTCTCTTTGGCATGGTAGATGACCTCTGCGGGCAGAATGCGTGAGCGTGACAGGATCCAGGCATAGTCCACATGGAAGAGCCGGAGAACATCAGTGCATGAATAAACAAGCGCAGTGCTGTTGTAGTCAGTAGACAGGACCCAGTATGGGGCGTAGGGAGAGACTGCATATATAAATAAGCAGCAGACAGTGAATTAACAAAAGAAAAAAAGACAAAAAAGATGTTCTAGAAATGTGTTGTTTGAACACAAACAGAGGTTGAGCACATTCATGAACTTACAGTAGGAGAAACTGACTCCAAGCTTGGCTGGCTCCCTCGGGTCCTGAGTGATTGCTGTGCCCTCTACTTTACTAATTTTTCCTTTGCTGTTTTATATAAACACACAGTTTAGTTATGGATAAATGATGGCGACAAAACACAAGTTCTATTTTAGTCAAAAGATTTGATTACTCACTATGTCTGAACATTGGTAACTTGGACAGTGTTGTCAGGTCTTAGCGCGTAGTTTGCCTCAATGCACTTGCCTTTCTCAAAGGATGCTGGGAGCTTTTCGATCTCATACCACTTTCCAAAGTACTTGGAGTGAACGGTAAAGCTCATATAAGTTCACTGTACACTATTAAAAGCATACTTCAAATCCTGTCATTATTTTTTCACCCTCATGCCATTCCAAACCAAACAAAATAACAGCATTTGGATTTAGAAAGACATGAGGGCCAGTAAATAATGACAATTTTGGGGGCTGATCATTTTTGAAATTCTATATATTTACATAGTCCTACCTTGTTTAATTCAAAGTTTGGCTGGACCATTGGTGTTGGGCAGGGGCCCCAACGAAATGTCTGAGCAGAGACCAAGGGAAGCAGTAGAGGTACGAGCAAAACAATCACGGCCTTCACCTTGTCAAGAGCTGCTGTCTCAGTCAGCAGTGAGAGAAAGTCGAGTCATGAGCTCAAGATGCATTATGTCACAAAGTTACATGGATATTTGTAAACTGCATTGTCTAATTAGAATTAGAGACTGTTCACACAGTACGAATCTGGCTTTGCATTTCATTGTGTGGAAACAGCAAACTTTAAAAAGTAAAAAAGTATTCTTTTCCATTCCACTGTGCTACATCTGTTAAATATAAGTTTTTTCCTAGGGGTATTATTATTATTATTTTTTTTTAAAGCATGTCAAGTTCTTTTAAAAATTGTCTGGAAACTTTTTTTAAGCACTTTTTTCATTCAACCGTGCTATGTTATTATGTCTCTCTCTGTGTGAATGGACCCGGCATTCACTTAAAGTGTAATGTAGAATGGTGGGGTTTTGAGATGTCTTTTGTTTTGAATGTCAGGATTTTTTGTTGATCAGAAGCTGTCAGACCTGTTGGACCTGTTTGCATATGATCACCACAAATCACTGGCGTACACGCGCACGTTAGATATGTTATGAAACTGTGATGTTATGAAATTTTTTAAATATTACTTATTGATGAAATTATCTTTTTTGATAAATGTAATGGTTTTTTAATGCTAAAACATGATACATTTACATGAACAATATAAGAACAATTATAGTCTATATGAACTTATTTACTGTAATACATTTTGTTAAATAATTAAACGGCATATAATCCAGTTTGCTGGGAAAAAAAAGAATTACTGTTGTAGTAGAAGTTATCGAAACTGAGAAGTATAAGCTTTTTTTTGTTTGTTTTTAAGGCAGTACATTTTTTAGACCAAAATTTTACATCTAACATTACAGTTACACAATACAAGTATACACAGAAAATGATAATTTATAGAATTATGATTAAATATAATAGCACAAAACAGACTTAATAACAATGCAAAGTAAATCGATACCTGTTCCAGATGAACTTGTTGTTAAGCGCAGAGCTGAATGTGTTGCGTGTGTGCTGGTCCAGTACCTGTGTGCTGACAACAGAGGAGGAGACGCTCGTCATGACACACTGAGATTGTGTTGTAACAAGAAGCAGCCGATTATGTAAATAGATATGATGGGAGCAGTACTGCAGTGACAAGGTGTGTGCTGCTAAGTAGATTGTGAGTCTATTGTCCTCGATTTGCCCAGACCTTTTGTATTAAACAATTACAAATTGGTCTAGTCAAATGGCTCAGGTGGCTACAATGAGTTATTTAATAAGATTATTTTCAGCAGATTTCATTCATAAAACTGGCAATCAGACTTTCCCATCCCATGGGCTGTGGGCAGACACTAAATTATGCCATTCTTGAGACCAGTAAACAACTGACAGTGACATAACCATTTGAAGTGATTTAGGTAACCATGGTAATCAGTTGTTTATCATTAAACAAATATTATTTATTAATATTGTTATGTAAGTTTGATTCTTAAGTAAAATTAAGTACATACCTTAACTGCCCATTTTGGTTAACTGTCACATTGTTGATGTTAATAGGCCTACCACTCCTGGTTAATCCTTAATGTTCCTTGTAGTTTCGGGCCAGGATTGAAGCTAAATTTACTAAAGATCTTTTCACACAACCCTTAACCCTGGGTTAATGTCTTTTTTAACATGGGACTGAGGGTGAAAAGTCCAATAGAAGATGTTTAGAATTGTTTGGTGACTATAATCTGTAGAAAAGACCCAGCAGGAATAAAGATTATTCCTCATCGACCATCCAATAATTTAATAAATAACTTAATATCTGAAATTAAATATTGTGATTGATGAGAACTCTTCACAGGGATAAATGAATTGTGGATGGATGTCGTTGTCTGTTAAATCTGGGATCAATAAATGGATCAAAAAGGGGAAAAGGTTCACATGAAAATGTGAAATTTTTAAAAAAGTATGACATTTGCCTTTCAATTGTAATTGAATAAAAGTACCTACAAGTAGTTTCAAAAGTACACATTCCAAAAATAACAGTTACGTTTAGCAATGAAGTAAGCTATAGTTACTCCTCCTGTACTGTACACTCTGGTCCTTGAATGCACCAGTTTCTGGACATTTGTTTGCATTCATGTGCATAGTTTGTGTGTTTGGCTCCACCTAATGGTCACAGCTGTCATTTTGGTTCAAACACCGGAAAGAATTCAGACTGGAGGATATGACGTCACCGACCAAATCCCCTTGAAGACCTCGAAAATGGCCGTCAAAGCAAAGAGATTTTAATCTACTGTCGAAATAACGTGAGACCTGAATTTTTATTAAAAATTCGAATTTAACTTTATATTTATTAATCACATAATTTAAATAATTATTGCACGATTCGGTGTCGTGTTTGTAATATGTAGAGCGAACATGTGAATTGCGGCTCGCGCTCTACCGGATCGAGCATTTTCGAAATAAGAGCCCTTTGTTTTGCATGTCAAAATTATAAACACTACTATCTGCATCCATTCAGAAAACAGTGCATTTAGCTATTTTTTTGTGCATATTTACGACTAGAATTATTGGGTGCATTATAATATTTTGAGTGGCCTTTAACGGTGATAGTTTGTTAGCAAGCTCGTTATTGCAGTCAACTTTTGAGTAATGGGCGGGAACTTTTATTTTCCTTAACTGATATTGTCCAGTCTGAACTGTCGCTAATTTTATATTGAGTTATTGGTTAATTTATATGTGCACAGGTTCTTTATTCTTACATGCATGTCTGTTTCATTTAAACAGGTTTTTGGGTGTGGTTTAAACCATTAACGTACACATTTACGTGCGGTAAGTGAATTATTGTTTATTACTTACAAAACGATTGCATGTAAAATAGGGTCATTATAGGTCTAGTTCACTCAAAATGGAAATTATAATCATTTATTCATGTTGCTCACCATTATGTTGTTCCAAACCTTTATTACTAGAACTTACCACTTTTATTATATGGAAAGATACAAATAAATAATGGCAGAATTTCTGAAGAATCTCTCTAAGATGTTCTTGACATTCCAGGTTGCTCCTCTTCCACGTCATGCCACATATCACTCACAGTGAGTTTCTTCTGGAGCAGCTGAAGAGGCAACGTGAGAGAAGCTTTCTGTGTGACTGCACAGTAGTAATAGGACAGTCTCAATATAATGCACACCATAATGTTCTGGCAGCCTTTAGCGAGTATTTCTCTACGCAGTCTATTGATGCCGGAAAGGAGAATGCCACCATAACTTTGGACCCGGAGTTGGTGAGCGGGGCTTTGTTTGAAAAACTACTAACTTACATTTACACCGGTGACTTGAGTATGGACAGGTGAGTTCATGGGAATATAATTCTATACATTTATTGTTATCTGTATGTAGTGGTATCTATGTTTATATGTACTGTTCCTATAAAGCCTGAAAATATGTGAAGCCTGAAAGTATTTTTAAAATATATATTTTAAGTATTTAAATAATTTTCAGCCCTGAAAAGGTAATGTAAATTATTTTAAAAATGTATCATTTTAAAAGTTTTGGATTTTTTTCCTTAATGATATTTATTAATTTTAATTTTAAATTCATGTTTAAACATATATAAGTATATACAGTTGGGTCAAAGACATTAAGATGTCCGCATCAAAAAAAAATTAGAAAACTGACTTTATGTCCATAGAAAGCACATTAAATGTAAGTAAAGTGTCTACTTTTAAGGTTTCAAATAAGTTTTAGGAGAATAAATTGTCAAAATTTGGTTGAAATAATGTTACATTGTCATTCAGTGTAACACAATATTTATGTAAAAATTCAAACAACAT